ATATATATATATATAGACGTTTATCGAAGAACCAGTCTTTCGCCGTTAGAACCCATCTTGGCCGATAGAGAACCAAACGTCTAGACACAGGCCTGTAGAAAACAGTTTGAGTGTCTTGGTAATAGATTTCTGAACCCAGCATAATGCGTTAAAATTCTATTTAAATTTCCATTAATTTGGAGATTGTAAAAGACCTGAAGAATTAACGTCTTCTATGTCCATTACATCTGTAATCCTACATAATAACATAGCTTTTTTTTATATGGATCAATCTGCAATCATCAAAGCTGATCAAAAACTTATTTAAACGATTTTATAGTCTACTATGTAAAAACTATTTTTTCTTTTCCCTGACGAAATGTGCTTTTCAGCTCTCCCCGACGGGGGAGGGAGGCTTTCCGCACTGCCACCACCCCTGACCTTCCCCTTGAGGAGGAGGTGTATCGGCTGCAATTGCGCCTGGCATCCAGGCCTAGAAGTGTAATTTTTTAAAAAGTATATCACACAGTCATATTGGGTCATATTTCAAACCAACATACCTCGAGTGTGGATATAATCACAATCAACGCAATGCCTGATCCAAACACAATAACCAAGAGTACAAGTCGGATAAGATCTTGCGATATTTCTTTGAAATTTGCCATGGTAAATTTTTGTGGAACGTACAGATTGTTGATTTTTATGAAGAATCTCACGTCATTCTAAAACATCATTTCAAAACAAGTAGCGCACCGTACTATGATCATTGTGTTAGCACCATCTGGCCCACAACGCGAAACTGCTGATGCAAATATATCCTTCCGCTGGTGTATGATTAAAATCCGGCTTTGTTTATCTAGCCTTTGGATGGTTATATTGTGAACAAAAATGGCTATCAGAATACGGTCGACCGCGCAGAAATGTTTTCTATCTGCACAGTTAACCAGAGGTAACGGAAATGGTGTGCAGTCGGTTTGGTTGTTACGATGCCCGGGGTATCTCGGAGTATATTGTATGCAATATGTACCGTATGCAAAATATGTACGATTAAAAACCCGCGGGGGGGTCGGACACCGAAATGACGATTGTACATTTTAAGTGCTGCAGTTCTCCATACATAAGTGTAAGCAAAATTACGGCGATTAATTGCCGATGATGGAGCCGATTACCTCAAGAATGGATACAATCCCTTTAATGTATACAAAGGACTGACCTAATTACTTATATGCCCAGTAGTAATGCCTACGATGCGTTGTTACTTCTTGCCTTTCTCTGTATTTGCAGAGTTTTGTACTTCTGCGCCACATAATGCAGTAGTACTGTGTAGTACAGATATATTTTGAAATGATTGACCTAGACATTCTAGTAGTGAATGTAGTTTGTATTGTATGGATTTATTTTCCCAATAAAAAAAAGACTATCTGCAGCATAATCGTAAGTCAGTTGTATATAGATATTGCCTTTGTGTTTCCATATGGCCATAACGCACTTTTGCGGAGTATGTACAACTGGACTGGACTGGATTTATTTGGTGTAAATACCAAGGATAGCCCACAAAGTCTAGAAGAAGACTTATTTCCAGTGGGGTCCTTCTTGGTGATTGGGCATGCACCGGGAGACAAACCCCTACTCTTTTCTGAAGAGTGTACTGTGTTCTTTAACGTGCACATGGGCCATCAATGAACACCAACGGCTTAAACGTCTCATCCGAAAGACGGTGCGCTATTTATAACTTTTATTTCAGCCCTCCAGCTGAAATACAATGAGAGGCAGCGATGGGAATAGAACCGGTGACCATAGATCTCCACGCTCAGCGCACACACAGTGGCTACCAACAGATTGTTGATGACAAAAGTACTATATACGTGTATAATAATAAATTTTATCCTGTCTCTTATACACATCTAGAGCGAATAAATTCGCCTAGTGGAAATGTCGAATGCTGTCATTTAAAATTTCTTTTCAAATAAATCTATTTCTACGGAGCCCCTAAAGGGACATGGTTAGGAAAAATATTAAACTATTTCGAGGAAACGAAATAATATTTCGAGCCCTCATCATCATCATCATCATCATCATCATCATCATCATCATCATCATCATCATCATTATCATTATCATTATTATTATTATTATTATTATTATTATTATTATTATTT